AGACACCTGTCTCACCTGTCTCACCAGAGCCATGCGTGTCGCATCTTCCATGTGGTCTCTGTGTGGGCCGGGGGCTGGGGGCCGGGCCTGGGTCCATCTGGGTGGACGGCTGGGGCCTGGAGTTGGAGCTGGCCGCAGGGGCCTGTCAGGCAGGGAGCGGGGTGGGACCAGAAGGGGTGGCTCCCACCCCAGGCTGAGCAGGGGCCCCCCAGGAGGTGTGGCGGCAGCTCCCAGAGGGTCTGAGAACGGGTAGGGGCGACCCCATAATCCCTGGCCTGCAGACACTGAGGTTCCCAGACAGGGAGGCCTCTGGAAGGGAGACGAACACCTCAGTTCCTGACCCCAGCCACCCCTCAGGGCCCACCCCACAGAGCCAGGCCTTCTGCCCTTTGGGGCTCAGAATTCTCCTACGTCCTGCTTGGAGCAGCTGTGGCTGCGTGGGATATGCACACTCGGACCAGAGGCCCCCAAAGCAGACCCAGCCTTGCTAGCGGCACCGTAGGCCCAGGCAGCATGGTGGGGAGGGGCTCTGCCCAGAAATCCTCAACCCAGTGGCCACCCTGAAGTCCAGGGGCTAGTCTGGCCCGCAGGAAGCCCCCCAGCCTGTAGGCAGCATCACCACAAAGCTTAAGCCCCATGAGGAAGTGGGATTTGCACTCACCCGCCCCTCAATGCACTGGAAGCGGGGCAGGACTGCAGGGCACAGACAGGACTTGGCATCGAGCAACCCAAGTGCCAAGGTGAAGCCACCAGGGTGCCGCAAGAGGGACCCTGAGGCCTGGCTGCTCAGCCTCCCGGGAAAGGGACTCGGCATGCAGGACGGGTGGACAGCGAGAGCCTGTAGGGCTGGGATCCACTGGAAGCTCAAGGAGCAGGTGGAAGCACCATTCCTGGGGCCACCCGTGCCCTGGAAAGCGGGCAGAGCCAATGCTGCAGCGTCTGAGCCAGGAGTCCCGCTAGAGGGCGCAGGGAGCAGGGAGGGGGAATAGCGGCAGGGACCGTGGACTGGGCAGGTTGGGGAAGAGCGGGTGTCCAGGGAAGAGCAGACAGGGGAAGCAGCAATTTGGGACAGACAGCCACGGGGGGGGGGGGGCAAGCACAAACGTCTTGCAGGTGATGGGTCACTTTCAGAGGGTGACACTGGGTCCCAGGGCCCTGCCTGGAGCTGGGCCAGGTGCAGCTCAGAGACCCTCATGGTGCCCTCCCAGGAACATGTTCCCAGCGGAACCCTCACCCAAGCCTCCCTGGGCACCAGACACCATCCTCTGGGGCCAGCCCTGGCATCACATGGCATCTGGGGCTGGCCCCACCCTGCGAGGCTGAAATGTGGGGGGCACTGCCAGCTGGGGGTCTGGGCAGGGGAGGGCAGCCCAGCTCCCACCTGGTCTCTGGGACTGTGAGCTTGTTCAGAGGGAGGCCTGGGTGGGGGGCTCCCTCGGGCAGGGTGGGGTCAGTCCGGCTGCGGAGATCCTCTGCCCCGTCCTGTGGCCGGTCCGGGCCAGGGCGGCACTGGGCGCTGAGGGCTGGGGTCCCTGGCGGCCGGCGGGGCCAGCGGGTATTGATTGTTGGTTCTTATTTATAGAGCACCGGGGGTGGACGCGGCGCTTTGCAAAACCAAAAAGACACAGTGCTGCCGCGACGCGCTATTGAGAGGGAGGAGGGCCAGCTGCAGCTGTGTTCCCGTCATAGGGAGAGCTGAGACTCCCCGCCCGCCCTCCTCTGCCCCCTCCCCCGCAGACAGACAGACAGACGGACGGGACAGCGGCCCGGCCCACGCAGAGCCCCGGAGCACCACGGGGTCGGGGGAGGAGCACCCCCAGCCTCCCCCAGGCTGCGCCTGCCCGCCCGCTGGTTGGCCGGCTGGCCGGCCCACCCCGTCCCGGCCCCGCGCGTGCCCCCGGCGTGGGGCTAACGGGCGCCTTGTCTGTGTATTTCTATTTTGCAGCAGTACCATCCCACTGATATCACGGGCCCGCTCAACCTCTCAGATCCCTCGGTCAGCACCGTGGTGTGAGGCCCCCGGAGGCGCCCACCTGCCCAGTTAGCCCGGCCAAGGACACTGATGGGTCCTGCTGCTCGGGAAGGCCTGAGGGAAGCCCACCCGCCCCAGAGACTGCCCACCCTGGGCCTCCCGTCCGTCCGCCCGCCCGCCCCGCTGCCTGGCGGGCAGCCCCTGCTGGACCGAGGTGCGGACCGGCGCGGCTGAGGAAGGGGCAGAGCTGAGTCGGCTGGGCAGGGCCGCAGGGCGCTCCGGCAGAGGCAGGGCCCTGGGGTCTCCGAGCAGTGGGGAGAGGGAGCTACGTGGCCCCAGGCGGAGGGGCTTGGAGCAGAGACGGCAGCTCCATCCTTCCCGCAGCACCAGCCTGAGCCACAGCGGGGCCGACGGCCCCAGCTGGCTGGGTCGCCCCTCCTCGGGCGCAAGCGCTCCTCTGCAGCCTGAGCTCCACCCTCCCCCCTTCTTGCGGCACCGCCCACCCACGCCCCGTCTTCCCCTTGACCCTCCACGCCGGGGCTGGCCCTGCCGTCCCACTATGGCCGTCCCTGACTTCCCGGCCGGCAGCGCCTCCCGGAGGCGCTCGGGCTCCCGCCGCCTCGGGCCGTCTCCTCCTCCTCCTCCTCCGGACTCGAGAGGGCCAACCCCCTCGACTCCTTGTCCGGCCTGCGGCCCAGAACGGGCTTCCCCGGACGCTGGTTCGGGACTGTCTTCCACCCTGCCCTGCACCCGGGCACAGGAGAGCGCCACCCGCCCGCCCCCGCCCTCGCTCCGGGTGCGTGCCCGGCCCGCCACCTTGTACAGGACCAGCGCTCCCAGGGCCCGAGCTCGTGCCTTCCCCGTGCGGCCCATGCGCGGCGCGCTCTGCCCCTCCACCCCCCACCTCCCGGTGTATGCAGTGGTGATGCCTAAAGGAATGTCACGCAGGTTTCGGTCTGTGTCGCTTGTTGACGCCGACAGAGAGTAAAGGGAGGGCAAAGGCGTTGGGGAAGAAGCTTCCAGCGCCCAAGGCGGCCGCAGCTGCTCAGGCTCGGGCGGCGGCGGCGGCGGGGATCCCCGGGTCCGCGGGCGGGACCGAGCAGTGGGGGTCGGGATCGGAGTCTGGGTCCCGCGGTCTCCTCGGCCGGCGGAGGGCGGCGGCGCGGCGGCGGCGGCGCGCGCTGCAGGCGGTGAGCACGGAGCCCAGAGCCAGGCAGGCGGCCACGCTGACGAGGAAGGAGGCCGGCCCGAGCGCGTAGACCACGGCCAGGTCCCGCAGGGCGAGCGGCTGCGCGCAGTGGCGGAAGGCGGCGTCGGGGAAGGCAGTCAGCGGGCTGAGCGTCAGGCGTCCAGGCCACACGCAGAGCGCCGCCTCGGCCTCTGCGGGACACGGACACAGGCGCGGCGTCAGGCGGTGGCAGCCGCCCCGCCCCGCAGACCCCGCCCCGTGTCCGGGACAGCTCACCTGACGTGGGCAGCGGGTGCCGGCGCAGCCAGGCGCACAGCGGGCGCAGCGCGCAGCCGCAGGCCCAGGGGTTGCCGTGCAGGTGCAGCGCATCTAGGGCGGGCAGGCGGGCCAGCAGCCCCGGCGCCAGTGCCGCCAGCGCGTTGTCCTGCAGGCTGAGTGAGCGCAGCAGCGGGAGCGCGCCCAGCGCCGCGGGCTCCAGGCGCGCCAGCCGGTTGCCGGCCAGAGAGAGGGTGCGCAGCGCGCGCAGCGGCGCGAAGGTCCCGGGTGCCAGCGCTTCCAGCTGGTTGGCGCTCAGGTCCAGCAGCTGTAGCGCGCCCAGGCCCCAGAAGGCTCGCACGTGCACCGAGTGCAGCCCGTTCTCGCGCAGGTCCAGGCGCTGTAGCGCGCCCGCTCCCGCGAAGGCACCGGGCGGCAGCGCGCGGAGGTGGTTGTGGTCCAGCAGCAGCTCGCGGAGGCGCAGACTCAGGCCCGCGGGCACGGCGGGCAGCGCGAGTGCAGAGCAGGTGGCCAGGCCGCCCGGCTCGCACGTGCACACCTCGGGGCAGTCCCAGGCGCCTAGGGACCCCGAGGGCGAGGCCATGGCCGACACCTGGGCCCAGACAGGCCAAGGCGACAGCGATAGCAGCAGCAGCAGCGGCAGCCTCGGCGGCCGAGGCCGCGACCAGGAGGAACTCTGCATGGGGGCAGCCCCCGGCACCCCCGGTGGGAGGCCCGCTGCCTGTGTGTCCCCGGAGCCTGTCGTCCGCGTAGCGCGTTCCTGCGGCGCCTGCACAAATATTCTCTGGCGCGAGTGCAGGCAGTTCCTGTCCCACGGCTGGATCCACGCTTGGGGCGGGGGCGGGGCAAACAGCCAACGCCCAGCTCCGCCGGCCACCTGTCCCGGAGCTCCAGACTGCTCTTGGCACGGCGCCGGCCACAGCACTATTGGGACCACCTCGCCCCGTCTGATTCACCACCAGGCGCCCGCCGAGCCCTGAGCAGCAGGACGCCGCCCACCTGCACCCGACGACCTCATGGCTGCCACTGGCACCCACACACAACGCAGCCCAGAGGTCCTGCTCCTCACCGGCCTCGGCCCCACTCAGACTCAGCAAAGTGAGCCCAGTGTGCACCTGCTGAGTGGCTCCAAGCAGGGATGGTCCGTTCCCATAGTGGATGGGGCCTGAACTGGACACAGGCCTTGGGGTGTAGGGAGACAGCATACCCAGGCAGAAGAGGATGCCCGCTCCCTCCCTCCCCCCAGGACTCTTCTGGACCGCCGCCAGTGGAGTGGGGGTGGGGCATCAGCCCAAGTCCTGTTAAACCCAGCGGCCTCCGGAGCTGTCAGTTGCAGGTCCTGTTCTAGGGGCTTTCAAAAGCAGGGTGCAGGGAGGAGCCGGGCTGACCAGCTGTGGCAGAGAAGATAGAAACACATTGGGGGTGTGGTTTCCTGTCCTGGGGCAGAGGAACAGGGAACCTGGTGTGGGCCTGGGCGCCCGCTTTGATGAGACCCATAGGCGAGTGCACCCCCCACGATGCAGCCTTGAGGGGTGTGAGAGCCTGCAGGGAGGACAGTGCACAACCACTAAATACGGTTTATTTCCCTCCCCCCGCTGCCTCAGCCCTACTCAGGTGGTAGGGGTGGGGGTGGCGGCGGCTCTGGGGTAGCCTCCATGGAGATGGCCACGAGGCTCTCATCCTCCAGTGGGGGCATCACGGAGACCTCCAGGTCAGTGTCCAAGAGCTGGGACTCCACATATACTGGATGCAGGTCCATGCGATCTTCCTGGACCCCAAAATTCTCCACCAACCTGCATGACAGGGGCCGGGTCAGCACAGGCTGGTGGGGCCCTGACCCCCCCTTCCCCGCCCAGAGCAGGCCAGCATGTGGAACCGTGCTCCCCCAAGGCCTCCCCTGGGACAGCACCACCCCCACAGGGTCCCCCCTTGGACAGCACCCCCACCCACAGGGCCTCCCCTGGGACAGCGCCCCCCTTGAGGGCCTTCCCTGGGACAGCCCCCCACACAGGGCCTCCCCTGGAACAGTGACCCCCCTTGATGTCCTCTCCTTTGACAGCACCACCCCCAGGCCTCCCCTGGGACGGCGCCCCCCTCAAGGACCTCCCCTGCGACAGACCTCCCCCCAGGGCCCCCCTGGAACAGCCCCCCCCCCCCCCGGGGGGTCTCCCCCGCGCCAGTGTCCCCCCCCAGTCCCCCCCCTGGGACGGCGCCCCCCCCCCCAGGGCCTCTCCAGTGCTCACCTGTTGTTCTGTAGTCTCGGGCATGTTTCACTGAGCGGATGAAGGCCAACATGAGTCCTGGAAGAGCGCTGGGCCCCGGACCTCCCCCAGCACATGCCTGGGAAGCACCATTCCTGCCCTAGGTGACATCCCACCCAGGGGGCAAAGGCCCCTCTTGCAAGACTAAGGGCCCAGGGTGGAAAGCCTGGCCTCGCTCCCACTCACTCCTGGCCCCTGGGTTCACGCACCCCTTGGCCCGCAAGACGCCAATTGCCACGATGACGAGGGCACAGAAGCAGCTGGCGCTGACGCCTGCCAGCACCACCAGGAGGGCGATGAGGGCCTCGCGGCTGAGGCCAAGGCTGCATTCACAGTAGGTTCCAGCTGCAGAGACAGGGCCACATGGCCGCGGGGCTGGTCACCTGCCTGAGGAGGGCCCCCAGGTCTGCCCCTGCCCTGGTGGCTCCCAGAAGGACACCAGTGCTCCTGCCTTGCCTGGGAAAGGGGAACCCTGGCTGGGTGCGGGGTGCACGGCAGGAGGCGGTACCTGCAGCAGGGATGAGCAGAACGGAGAAGCATGTGAGGCCCAGGGCACTGCCACGCAGGCAGGACCGAGGCCAGAGACTGGGGGCCATGTCCAGCCCTGGCCACTGCCCACCTCTGACGGAACTGTCAGAAGGTGCTGACTTCACAGTGGGACTGTGAGGTGAGGGTGGGGGGCAGGGCCTCACGGTGCCTGAAGCCAATGTTTCACTTGCCCTTGGGCACTGCGATTCTGGGAGCCATGACAGCCTGCCCTGGGAATGGGACAGGTAGGGTGGACAGGTGCTGGAGGCAGAGGCAGCAGTGGGGCTGGCCTGGCCTGAGGGGCAGTCCCTCAGGAAACGGAGTGGGCAGCACTGCAGGCCCTGTGTGGGTGCAGTGGCCTGGCAACCTTGGGGGGCTGGCAGCAGGTAGCCTCAGCCTCAGCTTCCTCCCAGCTTAAGGGTTTCGGCAGCTCAGTGTGGGGCTGGGCTCCAGCTGGCTGCAGGTCACCTTCCTCCAGGGCCAGGGCAGGACGGGACCAAGGAGGGCTCAGGGGGTGGGCTTGCACCCAGCCTCCCTCCCCACTGCTTCTGGAAGGGTCTGGCTCACACTCCTGGCAAAGCTGTGGTCAGGAGGGCTGCTGGCACCCAAGGGATTCCCCCACCAACTTGGAAAGGTCTGGGGGATACTGGCTACCGCTGTCTGAGCAGGACCCCCCAGCCATGCCTCCCGAAGCATCCCCCATACAAGGCTCTAGACTAAAGGTGTCACTGAAGTTGGAGCCCCCAGGGGCTGTTCCCTCTGCAGAACAGGCAAGCATTGCCCAAGGAAGTTGGCTGCAGGCTGGCATGGCCAGGGTTAAGCTCAGCCTCCTCCCTGAACCTGCTGTTCCAGGCTGGGAGAGAGGCCCCTGCCCTCCCAGCCTGTCCTCCTCAGGACCTGCCAAGCAAACCGCCAGGCAGTAGAAGGAAACACCTGCCCCACAGCCAACCGAGGCTGGGCCTCCTGCCAGCTCAGGACCCATAGGGCATGGGTGGGAGCACAGCCTGCCTCCAGTGGCCCTGGTCACTGGGGACCCACTCGCCTGTTGTCAGGCACCCTCCTGCTGGGATCCTCCAACCTCTGACTTGCTGAGTGACGCCGTGACCTGAGGTGTACCCTTCACCCTTGTCTTCAGGACACATCCAGAGATGGAATCCACAAGACACAGAACAAAAGGTGTGCCCGAGCCAAGCTGGCGGTGACACCCACCAGGCCAGCCCAGCAGGTTTGTATCCTGGTTAGGACACTGGCACGCCCAGCCGGGGGCCAGGTGGTAGCCATGGACAATGGGATCCAGGCCAGGCCACCGCCTGACGGGACAGTGGGCGTCAGAGAAGTGGGCTGGGCCCCTCATCACAATTCAGGAGAAAGGGCCCCTCTTTTTGTGAGACAGACTTGGAGTGAAGTGGAGCAGGTAGTAGGGACCTGGGTGAGGGGAGATACCACATGAGCAGAACCAGCCCTCCTTGGCGGGTCCGAGGCCTGACACTCAGGAGCTGAGGGTCAGGGGCCTGAGGGTCAGGGGTTGAGGGTCAGGGGCCTGAGGGTCAGGGCCTGAGGGTCAGGGGCCTGAGGGTCAGGGGCCGAGGGTCAGGGGCCTGAGGGTCAGGGGCCTGAGGGTCAGGGCCTGAGGGTCAGGGGCCGAGGGTCAGGGGCCTGAGGGACAGGGGTTGAGGGTCAGGGGCCGAGGGTCAGGAGCCTGAGGGTCAGGGGCCTGAGGGACAGGGGTTGAGGGTCAGGGCCTGAGGGTCAGGGGCCGAGAGTCAGGGGCCTGAGGGTCAGGGGTTGAGGGTCAGGGGCCGAGGGACAGGGGTTGAGGGTTAGGGTCTGAGGGTCAGGGCCTGAGGGTCAGGGGCTGAGGGTCAGGGGCCTGAGGGACAGGGGTTGAGGGTCAGGGGCCGAGGGTCAGGAGCCTGAGGGTCAGGGGTTGAGGGTCAGCGGCCTGAGGGACAGGGGCTGAGGGTCAGGGGCTGTGCATCTAGCGCCTGCCTAATGCTGGCCACTTCCTCCTTCAAGCCCCGAGGCAGAGTTCTTTAGAGCAAGGAGGGTGCAGAAATGGAGCCGGATGGCTCAAACAGGCCAGAGCTGGAGAGGTGCGGAGGGTGCTGGGCGGTGGCTGCAGGAACCCAGGACAGTGGACATGTAGGCACCAGCAAGGGCATCTGGGGACGGTGGGGGAAGTGAAACCAGGTGCAGCTCACAGCCTGGGAAGGTGCTGCAGCAGGAGGAGGACTCCAGGCACCGGTTTCAAACTGCCTTTGTCCCCTGCAAGGACGGTGTCATGGGGTGGAACGTAGCCGGCCTGGAAACAGCCCCTCTGGGACAGAGGCCCAGGCTTTAGAAGCAGAAGAGCCCAGAGCTAGACCCCAGGGCCCTCGCTCAGCCTGACGGCATCTCCCTCTCCCAGGGCAGCCTCTTGGACGGGACCTGGGCAGTCTGCACATGCTTGGCGGCACGTGCGGGGGTCACAGGGGTGAGTTATCCGCCTTCTGAGGCACACTTATGAGCCTGAGTGCTGCAGCCACCCTGCAGTGTGGAGCAGGGACAAACACCCGGTCCCCCCGGCCAGCAGGGCAGGCCCTGGAGCAGAGCCTCGCTGCTGGAGAGGAGGAACGCTGGCCAAACGCTGGCCAAGGGGTCATCCACAAGCCCAGCAGTTCCAACAGAAACCACGAAACACCCCAGCCTCGCCCCACACCCCCAGCCTCGCCCCATACCCCCAGCCTCCCAGCCTGGCACGTGGCAGTGGGCACTGGCTGAGCAGAGGGTAACGCCAGGGCTCCTTCCAAAGGCCACAGGCGCAGGGTGGAGCCGGAGGTCCAGCAGGTGGCACCAAGCCCTGGGACGTGGCTGCCTGAGCTGTGGCCCAGGTGTGATGTGAGCCTTCATGCACTACTTTCTGCCCAAGCCAGGGGTGGCCCAGAATGCTCTCAGGAGGCCGCATTCCTGCTGCAGATGTGCAGGCCTGGATGGGCCCCCCACTTGCTGCCAGGGAGCAGATCCTGCCAGGCTGAGGTGGAAAGGCCCAGGCTAGCGGGGGACCCCAGGAGCCCCACAAAGCCACCAGGACAGGAAAGGATGATCCGACTGCTTTAATCTGCACGCTGTGGGGTGGGGGTGGGGTGCCCCTCAGCGGTACCTTCTGGGACACACGCGGGTGGGGGCTGGCACAGGAGAAGGAGAGCACCTGCAGGGCGGGGCCGGGTGGCAGATGGACGGGCAGGCGGGCGGGCGCGTCAGCCGCAGTTCTTGGGCAGGCGGTAGACGCCGGCCGAGTAGACGAGCTGCTGGTCCCGCACCTTCTTCTGCAGGTAGCCCTGCAGCTCCTGCAGGTCGATCTCGGCCAGCGCGGGCCCGGTCACCACGAACATGCGCAGCATGTTGTAGATGCGCTCCAGCGAAAGGCTCTCCAGGTTGGTCAGCATGGCCTGGATGTAGGTCCAGAAGAGCTGCGCGCACCGGCCAGCCCCCGTCAGGCGCAAGCAGGCCTCCCCGAGCCCCGCCGCACGCCCCCCACCCGTGGGCCCGGCACGCGCACCAGCAGCTCCTCCTCCTTCTGGTCAGCCTGGGAGGCCATGCCCGAGTCGCTCTCGTCGTCACTGTCGATGAGCACCATGCTGTCCCTGTCCTGAGGCCGCTCCTCCTCGATGACAGAGAAGGTGCCAGGGGGCTCCTCCCGCAGCACACCCTGCTGAAGCCACACAGACATCCTCCGCCGCAGGAGCGCCACGGGCATCTTTACCGCCTTGCTCAGCTCCTCCAGGGTCCAGCTGGCTGTGCGAACAGTGACCAAGACCCTGGGCGGCCTGCAGACGGGCCGCAGAGGTCGGGGGCCCAGACCACCCTGCCTTGCCTGCTGGCTTGGCTGCCCCAGGCCACACCCTCACTGAGGAGCAGCCCCTCACCACAGCAGGGCTGTGGAGCCAGGGCAGACCAGCTGGGGGCCGGTGGACTCACCTTGGTCCTGAAAGTACAGCAGAACCACCGCCTGTACCGGGGTGACGGCCACAGACAGCGTGCGGTCGGCCAGCTCCACATCCATGGTCACCAGGCCCAGAGTGTGCTTCCAGCTGAGGGTCCGCATGGCCTAAGGAGGGCTAGGGTCAGTGTGGGCGGCTCGGCTGCAGGGGGCCCAGGCTCACGGGCTCTGCCACCTGGAACCGGGTGAGGAAGGGCTCTCGAAGCCGCCTGGCCCACCCTGCCCCCGGCAGACAGCTGAGCAGCGGGAGCACAGGACCTGGTGGGCCCCACTTGCTCAGCCACCAGAAAACAGCAATGGGGCCGGTGTCACAAGATGTGTCCCAGAAAAGCTATGTGTGCATCCTAACCCCCCGTGCTTGGAAACGCAGGTGCACTGGCAAACAGGGCGGATGAGGTCACACTGGTGCGGGTGCAGCCTAACCCAACCGATAGGCATCCTTCTGAGGATGACGGAAGATACAGGCGGCAGGAGGTGCCCCATGAGGACAGAGGCTGGCTGGAGCTACGCGGCCACAAGCCAGGAAACACCAAGGGCTGCGGCAAAAGCCAACACCAGAAGCTGGAGAGCCGCGGAGCTCTAAGAGGTTCCCGGGGGCGCGGGGCCCTGCCAATACCTTAATCTTGACTTCCAGCCTCCAGAACCAAGGCAGTCTATTTCTGTTTTTCTAAAGCCACCCAGTTTGTGACACTGTTACAGCAGCCACAAGAAACGGACACATTTTGGTACCAGGAAGGGCGCTGCTGAAACGTGGCTCAGCAATGCCCCCTAACAGGTGCTTCTGCTGAGTCTCGGGCGGAGTGAGCGCCTGCTGTGGCGGAGGGGGCAGCAGGGAGCCTGGGGCTGGTGCTCTGCTGCTGGGTGGAAAGCGGGGCTGCAGCTGCCGAGCCTGGATGCTCAGCTGAGATCTCCAGGCAGCGCGGAAGCTGTGGCCTGGCTTCTCCTTGCCACTTAGTAGCAGAAGGCAAGGGAAAAATCAGTGAGTACGGAAACATTAAGCAAAAAGGCACCAGCCCCTGGAGATTTGAAAACCGCTCCGATGATCCAGGCAGCTCTGAGACGGGGCTAAGGCTGCGGCTGGACCAGGATTTGCGAGGTGAGGTGTGATCTGTGTCCAGCCGTCTCAGCAGCAGACGGGCAGCTGGGGCTCCGGGAAAGGGCTGCGGACCCTCGTCTGAGGGCCTGGACGCTGGTGAGCTGCACGAGAGAGAAGCCAACGAGGTTTGTGAGACTTTCACCAGCAGAAACGCTGCCAGGCTGGACTGAGAGGCCGGCAGGCTGGCTCCAGATGCAGAGGCCGAGGCTGGCGGGGCGGGGCTGCCCCCGAAGGCTGAGGACGGAGCCCTGAGCCCAGGATTCGCAGGCCGCGGCATCAAATGCAATTCGGCTGCTGCATTTGGACTTGGGGTGACCCGCCACCCTTTTTCCTTCCAGTGTTCCCTGTTGGGGTGGGAATGTCTATTCTATGCTTGTCTCACCGTTGAA